CCAGCAATTTCTGCAGCGCTGAGATCTTACCAGATGGTGGCAATTGAAAAATCCAACATCCACTTTGCATATAAATAAAGCAGCTGATCACGTGATCAGGAGGACGGCCCATCGCTCTCTCGTGCCCACAGACACCTCAAGGCACGGTCGGGGGGGGGACTAACCCCTCCCCCTGTCAAGCAACCTTAGCACATGAGCGCTGAACAACGTCGAGGAACAGGGCAGCGAAACTTTCAGGGCAGGTTTCTGTGGGGGGGGGGGGGCTGTTTTGTGGCCTCCTTACTTTAGGAAGTTGAGGCAAAACAAAAGCCAAACATCAGACAAAAAAGGGACATCATCTGTGTGCATGAACCACACAGACATTCAATTGAGTGCAAGCCAACCCCCCTAATAACCGCCATATCCATTTCACACGCCGCTATATGGGCGTCTGATGTTCCCTTTATCCTCCTGACATCGAACTAAAACCTAATCCTTTGGCAGGCTAATATCAACCATGATATTTTCACAGCTAATGGAGCCACTTAACACTACTTTCGTTAGCCATTACCCCGAAAGTGTCCGCAGCGGCCCGCAAAGGCCAGAGGAGCAGGAACCACTAGGAACGTCGCGAAATGCTCAAGGTCGCTGAGCAAGGAGGCGGCCAAGCCGGAATGATCCAGAACACCGCGAGGCACGGGGATCACACCCATCGTGTGCGGCACACTGACCTCAGTGCAATACTGGGGGCCTTACTGCTTTATCGCCCCCACCCCAGCTAAGCAGCACCCACTGTCCCCCACTCAGGACCTGAACATCGCGGGCGACATAGAACATAATGAGAGACGCAGAAGCCAACAGGAAGGTGAGATGATATTGGGCATCCAAGGAAGGGGGGGGGGGGGGCTTTGAGATGTTTTTATTAAACCCCTGAACCCAATATCTCTGAAGGGGCTTTGCTCAGGGCCTGGGATTAGAAATCGCAACCTTCCCAGACATAGTACCCTAGCACCCAGAGCTGCACATCACTCCCAATACAATGATGCTGCGGGATGTTTTTACTTCAGAAGTCTGCCAAAGGCATTCGGGCAAAGGCACTACTCTACCCATTAATACAGCTGGATAGTTCTGCTGGAGCTTTTTAACTGGTGAATTCAAGGGTTCAAGAGCAGGGATCTCCTCAGACTTAACCCAGCAAAGGTCCATAGTCCATTAAACGGTTACTGGTAAACAGCCCCACACAGACCATCGTGGCTGACCGTGCAGCAGGAACACTGACCCTCAGATGACCTCACACAAACCTACAGGCTGTCTGTGAAAATGTCTACTTCCAGGAAGTGGGTCCAAAACAATACATAAAATAAATATAAATAAATAAATAAAAGTTCAAATAAATAGTGTTTCTTAAGCTTTGCTAGCAGTAGATTTAAATGAAAACACCCAAACAGCCCCTGATCTGTGAAAGAATGGCCTGATCTTAAAGTGAAACTAATGCACAAATACAAAAAAACACAGATATAAGCACCGAAAGCTGGCATGCCTCAAAAAATGAACTGAGGAAACAGACTGAATCAGCAAATGCCATTTTATAAAGCAATGAGTCATGACCTTGGTGGTTAATTTAATGGTGACCAGTCAAAGGAGAGGAACCAACGACCCACAGCTGCCCTGAATCTGGTCAATCAAGGTCCACCACTGCAGTCTTCCAACAAATCACAAACCCTGCTATTATAACATTATTATAACATGGCAGATAGACCCAGGGAAAACGCAATACAGCTGAAATGTGCTCCATATACAATTCTAATAATAATAATAATAATAATAAAAAAAAAATTGAAATCCTACTGTAGTGGAATTATTTTTCGTATTGAGCATTTCAGAAATCCTGCAATGGAACAGCGATCATTTGCTCACACACATTTCAGTATGATGCTGGCTGCATAATGTAATTTGGTTTTAGAGGCGGGGAAATATTTACATACGCGTCTTCATATTTCAAAACAGAGCTCAGCGTTGGGGGTGGGGGGCAACCGGCACACACAATCTTACAGCAAATCTGTATTATTCCATTATAAACCGAAAATTAGCTACGTCAAAAGCATTGGGGTAGTTCGCAAACCCTACAGACATTTACAAGGTAATAAGACTCTTACATGCATGTAGGCCTAAATGCCTTTGCAGACTTGTCTCACTCCAGCCAGCTGATCAAATTTGACAGCCCTTGTTAGGTAAACTCAGAACACACTTATGGCACATTTTACGCTCTAACTTTGCCAAAAGCGTAATTACACAAACAGGACTGTGTTTTGGAAACTACTTCTAGGCTGGAGGACATTATCCCGGCGCTGAAGCGCTCCTCTCCCGGCGAGTCTGAATCGGGGATAATCAAAGCGCAATTAAGCCGAAGCGCAGAGCAGCTGTTACCCCTCCCCTCTTATCGCCGTGCCGACAGCCTCAGCTTTAAAATGCCTCTCTGTCTGTGAGGGACCCCCACGGGACAGACGCGGAAATCACCCCCGCCCGGTCGTCGGTGGCGTTCCTGCCGGCGAGCCGGTCCGCTCAGAGCCGGGCTGCACTGTGGATCCTCGGTTATAGAGAGAGCTGAGACACCCGAGGTTTACCGCCAATCAGAGAAAACGCGAACACAACAGCCCAATAAAACAGTCCATCACTGTAACCACATTTAATGATATGTTGTTTTTCTTTTTGGAGCAGATCAAACAATAACATTAAAAAACCTTTTTCATCAAGTTTTGATGCAGTGATCTAAAGAAAATTCATTTGTATGAATTAGTCTCAGTCTGAGCTGGTCTGTGTACCGCACGCTACTCTAAGGACTCGTGGAATTGTATGAGCGCTAATGACTATGAAATATGTACAGCTACACAGGTGTCTGTCCACTTTGATCACGACATAATATTACTATAAACCGAAATGCGAGCATAAAGTAAAATATACATGCCTCCGACTAGAGGAAGGGTTTCGTGTAATGAAAGGAAATTCATGTGTCTTTGAGATTGAAGGTCTTTTAACAAGCAAGTACTTGACTGGATTTTGTCGCAACGGCGAGTGATTTGATTATGATGAAATCTGTACATGTGTATCGAGGGTGAACAGGCCAGCTCAGCCCAAGAGGCACGAGAGTTTATTTTTATGGGAAATCTAGTTTTTAGTATGTAGATTCGGATGTTGGGTAGCTAAATGAACTATGGATATTATTCTATCCCCCAAAGATTAGCAGGTAATGCAATGGATAAGGCTACAATGAAAGGCGCTACACGTTTCACGTTTCCTACCCCCAGGATCACAGCACCAGCGTGAGGGTGAGCAGAAGCCGTTTATGCGTTCTGCATCACCGCTGTTACTGCACACCCCGGGTCCAGCCAACACCCCCAGGTGGCTGGGGGGCACAGGATGGACAGCTCCTTCCATGGTTCAAGGGAGCAGAAACTGAATAAATCCATAAATCGAAGGCCCCTCCCCAAGGTAATGAAGGGAATGGTCTTGTTTTCCACCGTTTGAGGATTCCGAAAGGTTATCACTGGACAGTGATAATGGAGGAATCGGCTGGTCCCTCAGACGGGGCTGGGGGAGACGGGGGTGCTATCAGCTTGACATTTCTGTCAGGACTGGCATTTGACAGAAGTGACAAATACCAGCGCTGCCATTTACTGGGATTTAATTGGCCCACGGCTCCGTCTTTCACCGGCCTCAAGTTGAACTTAATTAGCCCACGTTGCCCATTAAAACTACCCATAATGCTTAGGGGCATTTAGATGACATTTTTAATGGGCTCTTTGTGGGAACAATTGAAATTTACAAACATTTCAATTGGCAGGAGGACAGGTTTGGTGCCGTAGGTGGGTGCTGGTGTGAGCAGGAGTAAAACAGGCTGGTTTGGTGCTGGTGTGAGCAGGAGTAAAACAGGCTGGTTTGGTGCTGGTGTGAGCAGGAGTAAAACAGGCTCGTTTGGTCCTGGTGTGAGCAGGAGTAAAACAGGCTGGACTCGTCTGTTCCCCTACTGCTGGTCAAAAAAATGGATTTTTTCACCGCTTGTTAACATAAGAGAACCTCGTGAGGAACCACAAAGAGCTTCAGTGAAGTCCACCAGTGCCTCGGTTTTGGTTGGACATTTCTTATGATTCATGTGGCTCCGAAAGACTTTATTGTCACACATTAACTACATATGTCACACGAAATCTGTGTCACCATGAAGCATGCCGCTGTTGCCACAGAAGAGAACCAAACACAGCAACAGTTACATGGCATCTTTGTGTCGCTGTCTAACACACATTTTACAAAGTCTGGTACCTTCACATTTTTAGATGTGTGTGTGTCTGTGTGTGTGTGTGTGTGTATATATATATATATATATATATGTAATAGAGCCACTTACACGACCCGAAACCCAAGTGCATAGGTGCAGATGGGAACAGCGCCTTACGCGGTTCCGGACAAGAACATAGCCGGTTGGGAGGATTTAACGGGAGATACAGTTTAACGAGGCAGAACCACTCAAGCGTGGTCTTCTTCTAATTAAACTGCCCTTCTGCTTATCTACGATTAAGACTCATTTAACAAAATAAAATGAAAAAGGCAGGCGGCTTCCGGTGAGAATTGGAGGAGCTGATTTACAGGCAAAGCGGCCTGCTAACAAGGTAGAAACCGAACAAACACTCACGCGCACCTGTAACTGCAGAAAGGGGAGAAAATGGCAGAGAGGAGCATCTTCCAGGGGCTGTGTTTTGGCGGGAAACATCTTTTTATTGCTTCTATGGAAGTGCTCAGACCCCCTTTCTTTGTCTCCACTGATTTCATAATTACACTAATTACAGAAAGCTGCTGAATTATTCCGCGGTTGAACTGCTCCACTTAACGAGACAAACTGTAAGATTCTGCTCGGAAGGCTGTGATTATCTGCTGCGTCTCCAGGCCGTGTGGGCTAACAATGTGCAAGGAAGCAAAAGAAACAATAAAACACTTTAATTTAGGTAAACAATAATTTAATTATCACTCATTTACCCCATTTTCACAATGACCACACACTGGCTACAAGCTACCCACTACTGGATGCAGTACTATAAATGACGACTAAATCTGTTTACAGTGTAATATCAAAAAAGGAAAATGCTTCGTTCTCTGTGATGGGACTCCTTCAGGATTTTGCTGTCATATTGAAATAAAGGCTGTTAGATTATTTTGGCATTTGTCATAAAAAACAGTGACATGATGAAATTCCCTTAAGGCTTATTACAAAAGAATGAATAATTTACAATACATACTGTACACAAAGGTAACTTCCATATCCGGTAGATCTAGAAAAAATCTAGATATCTTAGGAACATAACAGAAATCTTCAGAGAAGATGTAGGCGGCTGTGGGATCCTCTTTGTCGACGGTATTGTGACAGGCATGAGAAGTACTGAGATACATTTTTACTGCATGAATTTGCTGCATAAATGATTCATTTATTCACAAAATTATTCATTTCTTGTGGAGGGGGCACACTCCAACAGCTCCCAAGATAAACACTGCCTACATCTACTCCAGATTCTCCTGTATCAAAAAAAAAGATTTTCCACTATCTCTGAGAAGTGACGTTCATACCAAGTCATACTTTCCCAGCTGACTTGTAGACCACCAACAGGCTTTATAAAATTGCAAAATGCCTTATTAATGAATTTACTGGTATGCTGGTAAGTTAGTATATCCCATTAATTTACATTACAGCTTTGAGAGTGTCAAAAACTTTCCTTTTGAAATCACACTGGGGTTTATGCAAACGTGTGACTGGTGACCGTTAAAAACTGTATGTAAATATCCAAAACAATGAGTCGTATGAGAAACCTTGACATCAGAGCTGGAGCGTCTCAAATCGTTCCCAGGAAAAGAGGTAGCGAATCGGGGGCAGGGAACCACCAGGCGGGAAAGTGCCGGCACAAGCGGGACGAGCTCTCTGGCCGAGTCCAATGAGATCCACCTCAGACATGCTTCCATTACAGGGAAAACAGCGTTCGAAATAAACAGTAACCAGGTCTTTATAAAAGCACCGCGTTTCTGAGGCAAAAAGACACAATGGAATGAAAAACTGCATGAGTCCCCAAAAAGACGGATGAAAAACCCCATTTAGAAAAATCATTCACGAAAAATACCCTTCTCTCATAAAAATGCCACATTGAACGAGGCAGGTAAATAACACCAGGGGGCGTCAGAGTGCATCTCACACAGTGGTGACGGACAGGAAGGCGTTATGCACCTTCGCTCCATCCGGGGCCTTGGCCCCATGCGTCATCAGCTCCTGGATGGTCATCCAGTTGTCCAGGATCTTCTTGTTGCGCTTCTTCATCATCTTCTTGTGGCTGAGCTCGATGATGCTGACCTCGTTGCGTGGCTCGGCGGCGCTTTGTGGTGCCTCCCGCAGGCACTCCAGCCGGCTGCGCTGCATGAACTCCCGGCGCCGCCGCTGCTCCCGTGCCCGGGCCAGCTGCTGCTTGCGCTCCTCCTTGCTCCAGTAGCGGCCCATCTTGAGCTCGCTGGCAGCGTCGTCGTCCGTGGTCATGCCGCTGCGCTCCTCGCGGATCTTCAGCGCCCGCTCGCGCAGGATGCGGTCCCGCGCCGGTCGCTTGGTGATGTACCGAGTGCCGTCACCGCGCACCTTCACCTTCCACTCCATCTTGGGCTCCACGCCCACCAGGCTGAGCTGGCTCTGCGCGTACTCCACGGCCGAGCGCTGCTGGACCAGCTGCATGTAGCTCTGGTACCGCCTGGCGTGCGCTGGCATGTTGGCGTGCCGGTACTGGGAGCCATGGTACGGCGACAGGCAGGCCGTCTGGTTCCAGCGCGGCTTCTCCTGTCCTTGGAACTCCTCGTCAGCAGGGGGCGCCCCACCCTGTTTCAGACCGCGTGCCCTGGCCAGGAGGGCCGCCTGCAGCCTGTGATTTGAGGCCAGCGCGTTCTTCTGGTTGGTGAGGCTGACTCTCCTCTGCAGGGAATGTTCTGGCGATCGGTCCATTGCCAGCGGCGTGCTCCGGCAGCTCTCTGCCGTGTTGTATGCGCTCGAGCTGTCCTTGTCCGACTTCTCCAGGTGCTCCTTGATGTTCCCTAGCTTGAGGCTGCGTTCCAGACGACCCTGGTCCCGGGCCTTGCGTAGCTGATGGGCCTGCATGATATTCTGGCACTCCAGTTCGATGCTCTTGAGCTCCTCGTTGAGGAGACGCAGCTCCCGCTCCATGCCCGCTGGCTCCCCCAGAGTGCACCCGATGGTACTGCGTCTGCTGTAGTACAGGTCGTACTCGCCACTGTTGCGGATCTGGCACTTGAGCTCCAGGAGCTGCTGGTAGTGGTCACATTCGTCCTCCTCCTCGTCCTCCTGCTCCTCTTCTCCCCGGGGCGGCAGGCTTTCCAGGAGCTCCTCTGAGGCCTGGCTCTCGGTGCTCTGTGTGTCGGCCAAAGCATCCAGGGCCTGGGCCTCCCTCACCGCCTCCTGCAGACATCGCGAGAGCCTATGGGCGTGGCTCAGTGCTGGCAGGTCGCGGCGCCCCCCGGCTCCCCCCTCTGAGTCCCGGGCTCCAGCTGAGCAGGAAGCTGCGTCCGCCGGCCCGTCATCTTCGGGCTGCTTGGCCTGCGATTAAAAACGCATTTCAGTCCACAGGCCGTCCTCGGGAGGTAACCTGCAAACACGTTGCTCCTCTGACCCAGCATGCATTGCAGCTCCCTCTCATGACCACTGGCCTGATATTCCCGTCAAAGTCCGGCATACGGAAGATAATCACACGTTAATTAACCCTAAGTTTCTAATTAAACTTTCAAGCGGGTGGCACCCTAATTAGCAAGACAATGCACTGTATTCCCTCCCATGTCTCTCAGCCTTTGTTTGAAATCTGGGTATTTACAGTATGCTAATTCGCTCGAAAAATACAGAAATTTAATTAAGATAATTAGACATGCACAGAATGATAGGCCGTTATCTCCTTATACAGCACACACGTGTCCCGACTCCGTGCCAGACCTTGCTGAGATGAGATGGACCACGGGGATCTTTATGAGCTGACAGTATCACACTGAGTCACATGACTATCCGCCAGGAAGCCCATTAGACTCAGACTATGGACGCGAATGTCGCTAAGCTTTCCGTCTGCAGCGGCCACCCCTGGCCACCGGGGGAGCCCTAGGACAAGATCCGAATGGTTGTTAGCGGAAATAAGTGAATCGTTTAGGACCAGAGATGCCTTTCAGCTGCCCATGTGATGTCATCGTCTTGCCTTACGTTCATTACCTTATCGGGACACGAGGTGGCGTGGTGTGTAAGGAACTGCAAAGGCATGATTTTGGAGGGAAGCTAGTGTCACACTTGACTTCTGTCAGAAAATAACTAGGGCAGTACCCCCCCCTCCCCCCCCACCCATACGCATTTAGAACAGTTACAGGAGGAATTAAATAGTTCTAAAAAGAGGCATAATTATGAAAAAGCTGGTGAGCCAGAATCAGCCAGAGGACACCGACTCACTATTGTGGTTCCACTAGCCGTCGTTTTGTAATTTGAGTATAACCAACTATAACCTTTATGTGACAGGGACATGCTTCATTAGCGGCCATAACCATGGAGTAAATTGGGGCTCCTTCCTGAAACAGCTCCGACGATCTCAGCTAGCCTGCCATCAATGATGAGGTCACACTGGCCCAGCGGCGGCAACACTAACCGTCATTACAATCCCACTAAGCCATCTAATTGAGCTGCGATTCTCGGAAACGGGCTGGTGAGTTACTCAATGCAGCGCCGGGTGTATCATTACTGCACAGCTTTAATTTGGGGGACGTAAGGTGATGGGAGCGTTGAGTGCTGATTGGCTGCCTACTGAATGGCCTGACCAGTGACAGGACGCGGTGCCAGGGGAGGCGGGGTTTCCACATGGAACCGGACATACTGTCTCCCTTTGGGAGCGCAGTCCCCGCGCCAGGCAACCTACAAGGCGCCCTGTGGCCCGCCAGTCCGCACCCCCTCTCACCCGCTGGGCGCCCTCCTCCTCCTCCTCCTCCTCTTGCTGCCGTTCCTCCAACATCTCCATCTTCAGTTCCTCCAGCAGCTGGCTGTGTTCCTCGTCCAGCCAGGCATCCTCCAGCTGTGGGCCGCAAACAGTGCAGGAGGATTTCAGCCGGGGAGGGGGGGGGGGGCACTTCCCCTGCCTAAACTAGGGGGTCACTTTCACAACACAGGAATCAAGGTCTAACTGTAATTTAAAAAAAGACTATAAATCAGCATTTAGTGCGTTGTGACAGAAACATACTAAACGTAAATGTGAGTGGCAGACGGCCTGCAGGGGGTGCTGTGCTCACCTGTATCTCGGGCCGGGCCACCAGCAGCAGGATGTTGTGCATGTCCTCGCTGGACAGCAGGGCCACGGCCTCCTGTCTGTCCCGCACGTCCCGTCCGTTGACCTGCGTGGGACAGAAGAACACCGCGATGGTCAAAGGTCACATGACAGAGACAGGGCACCCTCCTCCCTCAGTGACGGGGGGCCGTCTACAGGGTTAACAGAGGGTAGCATGTGGCGGCACAGTGGCCTGTCCCTTGGCGGTAAGCTTGTCACTCCCCGGGAGTGACAAGACTGTCAACGGGGGTAACAGCACCAGCGCATCGGTACCCGAGACGCCCACAGTGGAAGGCGGCCCCCAGACTTCACAGCGTCTGATCTCCCCAATGCATTCCTGAACACCCCCTGCGCAGCGGAGGGCTCAGCTCAGCCCTGGGGGGCCCGCTCTCAGAAAACGCTCACTCAGTAACACAGAGCCCCCCCCCTTCCTGGCAGAGCCACAGTGGAGCAGCATTATGAGAACATGCAGATGTGGCCATTAAAATGCATGTCCTGTAGCTAGGAGACCATCTCAGACACAGACATTCATTCTTAAAGATGGCACCCACCTGTAAAATTCGGTCCCCCTCCCTGATGCGGCCATCCCGGGCCGCGATGCTGTTGGGCCCCACCTGTTTGGAGGGGGGCAGAGATTATGACAAGGTCCCACTCATACACATTTATATCTATATATTTAGCAGGAACCTTTATCCAAAGTGACAGCTTGCTCAGGGGGCCAACGGTGACCCCACTCCGCTGATGCTGGGATTTGAACCAGCAACCTTCTGATCACAGGTATAGCACCGGCCGAGCCACGCGTCACACCCTTAACCACCCATGATCCCTTCATGTTTTGGTCAAAGAGCAGCTGTGGCCCACAGATTCACCAGGATGAAGGGATTTTTGGAACGAGGAAGAGAGAGAATTACAGGCAATCCAGCAAATACTCAGCCTGCTCTCTCATTTAAACGGGCAGCCAGTAAACCAGTGATAACCAGTTCATTGTCGGCCTCTCCTCACGCACAGAACAATCTTTAAATTAACTGGCACGTGCTAAAACCCTTGAAGTTACAGCAGGAAGCAACATTTCCCATCATGCCCAGACCATACGCACCTCACAAACAGGCATGTCACAGCAGGCTTACTGGTGATGTCTCAGGGATGCAGTAAGGCAGATCTAACTCGTTGGTTGTCACAGACGACCAAACACACAGGTTCTATGTCACTGACCAGAGTAACCAGTAGAAGACCAGATCTGGGCACATGAGCTGCTAATGTTGAACTCGAGTGAGAATTCATCTGATGAACAGCATCAGAGCCTGATCAGTCACAGCTGAAGGAAGAGGAATCTCTGCTATGGGCTCTGGGTCCGCCTTGGCGTTCGGTTCACGTACCGCCTTTCCGATTTGTAAATAACTCTCCTTTATTGAAAAACAGCATCGCCCTTCATTATGTGAGCATGTTGGGGTGTGCAACACAGACGAGTCCGTGCAGATGGATTAAACGCCACAGTTGATTAAACTGAGAAGACTCACCAATCAACGGCCCATCCTGGGAGCCACATTTGCCTGCATATTGTTCAACCACCAGATTCAATAACTCTCCGTCTAATTTCGTAGGAATCACGCTTCCTCTGACTTACTGCTCAGGGCGTACCACTTGCTTGGGGGGATGGGGAGGCAGGAAAATATGGTATCTGCCAGCAGCAGACGTCAAACCCATACATGCGTTTATGATAAAAAAATATGCATTTTTTCTAAAAATATCTGTTTGGGGGGAGGGGGGGTCCCGTGACAGCCCTGTTCACGCCACAGCGGCGCTGTCGGTGGTACTGTCAGGTGGCACGTCCTCATGCCGCCAGCAGAAGGTGGCGCTCTCTGCAGGATGGTGCCAGCCTCGGGCTTCAGAAGTAAAGCTGCGGGCGTCTCTGGCCCAAATCGGACGCTGTGTCTGCAGTGTGATATTTTACGCCCAGCGGGTGGCCCTGGGGTGTCAGTCAGACATAATTAAAAACTATGAGTGAAGCATAAGGGGTCTGCTTGAGGAGGGACATGTGCGTGCGTCAGAGTGTGTGTGTGTGTGTGTGCGTGCATGTGGGTCAGATATACATTACATTGTGGGGACCAAATGTCCCCACACTGTGATAAAAACCTCTTATTTTGATGTTGTTGGCACCACCTTATTTGGTTTGACTACTTATGGTTAAGGTTCGGGCTGTAAAACTGCAGATGGAGGGTTAAGATCCAAACCAGGTTAACACCAGGTTTTACTGTCAGTCTCCCACCTTTCTCTGGCAACAGTGACACAAAGTGCTTTTGAAATAATCAGGAACGGTTATTCACGTCCTCTGAGGTCCCGGTGTGGCTTTTAAATGGGATGTTCAGGGCCCATGATCGATTGTCCAATCAGTGATGGGCACTCTTGCCGGGGATGGGGGGGTGTCCAACCTTCTGAGAAGGTTGATGCTCACCTCGCTGACATAGATGCCGACGTCGTCCTCATCGTCTGTCCTGTAGCACAAGGTCAGGCCGAGCTTCTCCTGACTGTTGAGTCGGCGAAGCTCCACCTCCTGTGGACCAACCCAGAAGACATGGGGTCACATGTTACAAAGCACTGGACAGGATTGGTCACTGACAGAATCCCTCCCAGAACACATTGGGTCACATGTTACAAAGCACTGGATGGGCTTGGTCACTGACAGGCTCCAGCCCAGAGGATTTGGGGTCACATGTTACAAAGCACTGAACAGGATTGGTCACTGACAGGCTTTAGAACCATTTGACTGACCAGCTGAAACACATTTTGAGAAGCACTGGAAAACTGAGTTTGATTCAGCACGGCCTGAATGTTAATGTCTATTTTCTAAACACCCTTCTATTTATGTTAATCAACACTCATTTATTCTGCACTTCCACTAACGAAAAGTTTCAGCGTGAATTAAATATTCATCAGCGGCTCCTTGATGGACCAGATTCCCCCCAGAGGTCTTATCAAGCAGCCCGGAAGGTTCCAGAAATCCTCGCTCCCGTGCCAGGCACTCTCCAGAAGGACGTCATGCGGCATTCCGCCTAGACGTACCAATTCCACATGAAATGGGAATGGCAGCACAGCCCCCCAGTTGAGATTCAGGTCATTAATCACCCCCCTCCCCCGTCAAGCATGTCTTCTTAATTCCTCTCCCTTTAGGAGCTCAGGAGCGCCCCTGCTGGTTGCCCCGCCCCGTCCCAAACGCCCCCTCGACTCACGCAGACCAGCAGCATCTTCGCCCCATAGGGGGGAGGAAGCCCATCCTGCTGCTTTCAGTGGTGTTGGCCATTGTTGTAAAAACAATTAATAATGATTCAAAATGAGTAT